CGAATATTACGAGGGTCTTGCTTATCATACGTCATGGTTTATGGTCCACTGGAATTTCGTTACTCGAAGGCAGTTCGGACTACAAAGTCGTGTAGAGAGAAGTTTTAAAGCACATGAAAAAGGTCGAAAAATGCTAAAATTTTTGAAAAAGGCATTAATATAGAGGTTTTGTAATACGCTTTATTTTATTGGTATTTGTATTCGTATATGGCAAATTTTAGTATAAGTCCGGTGATAAATTAAGATTTTATATCTCCGCTGTTATATATCACCATATATGTATAGGACAATTTTTTTTCTTTATATTTTAGATTATATTTATATTTAGTTTAGGTTCTGTCTTGTTCTAGTCATAAAACATTTAAGGAAAAACTCAAGTATGACTATTGACCCGGTAGAAATGATTATATTGCTACCTGCAATAAATCCGGTAGTCTAACCAAATAATGTAATATACTTGAATGAAAATGTAAAAATGTTATTTTTATTATTAATTGATTGTTTTTATTGAAAAAAAGACTGTTACACGACTTTTTTCTATGTACCAGGCATTCGGACATGTTATCAAAGTGTGCATAGAATGTAAGTCAGTTTGTCAATTGGCCCAATTGGAATATATCTAATTGATCCAATTAATTAGTCCAATTGACAATATTGAATATAAGTCCTCCGCTACGCTTCTGGAAATTACACAGAACCTACAGTAAATGCGCACATAGTTATGAAGAAAAGGCATGTATATATTAGAAAGCATGTTCTTCGATATGCGTATTTATAGATTGGATAGTAACTTAGTAAAAAAAATTATCTATGAGATATAAGAATCAAGCAATGTTGTTTAGTCAATAATTGATTTAGACATGAGTAATATATTTATTCGATTGATTTGATTTTTTTTACTTTGGTATTTTTTTTTTTTTTTTTTGGAATATTTCGCAAACTATATTACGTATCTTATTATCTAGTATTTTCATGTGATTGAACATGATTGAATTTTATATGGATGATTATTTTCAAAATGTTATTACGTCATAAATATAAAATTGGACTGTGTTCAAATTAATAATTACCTATATGAACAAAGTACTGTTATACAAGGTTTTATATTATTTTACAATAGAAATTTTTTAATCTAAATAAGACTAGAGGTCGGAACCGGTTTAATAAACTTTAATTATCATCACATTAACAGTTAATTTATCCAATTTATCCGAATTATTAAAACCGGTTCCCGATCTCTAAATAAGAGTATTGAAATTTTTATAATCAAATTTTGTCAGATTATTTTTTGGATATTTAACTTTCATATAAATGTTAAGACGTTAAAACAACATTATAAAATTTTTTTTTCTATAGAAAAATTTATTCTAATTGGCATTGATGACTTTCAAGGGTTAGAGCCACATGGTACATTCCACAGCTGTAGTGTGGCATACTCGATACGATCCGAATAAAAGACATAAATTCACACGATGGCTGTGAAATATACAGTACAACCCAAACTTTTGCCATCCTATCTCCGTAGTCTTGCTTCAAAATCATTTACGCAAAGTTGATTGTAAAGAATCTTCGATCAACTTTGAAGTTATATTATAGAGGAAACCTGCGTGTATTGGTCCGTATAATTTCACTTCACAGACAGCTCATTTAGCCGACATCACTCCAGGTGAAATTTAGTAAAAATATATACCTGCAACTAATCAAATGCTTAGCCCTAACCTTATGTGATGTCGGCTAAATGAGCGTTCGGTGAATTGATTGTCGGTAAATTGATCGGAACCGCGCATGTGTCGATCTTAAAAGGATTTTTATAATTGTCACGTGCAGGTTTCCCTTTTAATATTAAATTTTATCGCTTAATAAGATATAATTGATTTTGGAGTAACGTTAAGAAGGCCCTTTAAAATAGAAATTGCATGGTGTTTAGCATATAATATGCTTATATTCAAGCTTAGGAAATGGGGTTAAAACTAGGGCTTACCCGAACTCGGTTCGATCCTGTTTGTCAATGGATTGCAGACACGTGATTTTTATTATCATATTTAAACCGTCTCAAAACGAGTTTGAAATCGATTAAATGAACAAAATGATTGATTTCTAATTTACGTAACTTTTAGACTTTTAATTATTATCTTTACGGCATTACGTTTACATTAATATGACGAAATTTAGTTTTCTTTGACTTTTTAATTGTAATTTAAAGTTAATTTACTATAGTGTGATATGGAGAAAAATTTTATTTTTTTTATTTTTTTTTTATATACCAGTAAATATGCGTTTTTTTTTTTTTTTATACATTAGGCCGCTTGCAGTTGATTCTTCGGTTAAAATTACTTTCTAGGGCTCTCAGGAGGGGGGGGATGAAACGAACATATAAAATGAACTATTTATGACGAATTTAACTTCAAGTTAAATTTAGTCTAGAAATTCTAGTTGAGTTGCCAATTAGGCCAGAACAATTTGATTCAGTGGTTTGCATTGCATTCATTTCACAAAAGAGAGAAACAAGAAAAAAAATTATATATCTTATTCTCCTGAAAATAAGCACCTTTGTACAATTTTTGCTGCCAAAATTCTCGTGATCCAGTGATCGGATCTGCATAATTTTGTACTATTCAAATCATCAAGTATACTGATTCGATCACTAGATCACGAGAATTTTGGAATTTTGACTGTAATTTATTTTCAGAGAAATACTAAGTAGATTTTAGTTATATACCAAGTTTTATTTTACTTTTCGAAAAGTAACGGATATTTACTCAAATTTTGGTCCTGGGCCTGTTCGTCTCTCATTTTTTATTTATTTTTTTAAACCTTAAAGAGGACGCCCTATGGCGTGTTTATTAGAACTTAAAACAATTGTGCATTATACACTGGTAATCATAAGTAGTGCAACAAAAAAAAAAATTTACTTGAATCATATTATCTTATGCAATTCCAGGCATATCAGTTAGTTTATTTTATTTTATTCACTAATAACAACATTTTTTCATCAATAAAAAAATTAAAAAAATTTGATAAACAAAATTTTTCATTGGCACAAGCTTTATTTCAAATGTCATGTTGTATTAGAAAAAAAACAAAAACAAAAAAAAAACAAGAATAGTACTATTAAACTTGTATCAGATTATAAAATTTATATAGTATTATTAAATAAACTAGTTTAACTCTACACTAGCTATTTATATTTATATTTAGAATATAAAATCTTTATTAAAACTATCTATTATTAAGTAAAGATCTAAGTTCAAAATTTTGATTATATAGTTTAACAAAACTTCTACAATATATTTATATATATTTTTTGCTATGTAGAATTAAAGAACAATTATATATTATTTATTCCAAAATAGATATGTGTATATATATATTTTTTTTCTTTTTTAGCAATAATTAGTATTGTTAATTTTTTGATAAAAGTATACTGAATTTCTTACTTTTGGCAAAATTTCATAAGTGCAGTAAGTAGGATGTTGTAAAAGAGTTTTGATAAGCAGGTAGCTTTAAATTTCAGTAGAAAGTATATTAAAAACTTACTTGTTGTTTTTCTAAACTGATTATTCTTTTACTTCATCAACAGAAGCTATGCTTCTATTAAAATTTTCTGTACAAGAATATATCTTCTTGTCAGTTATCTTGTACAAGAATATTTTTAACTTGCTAAAAATACAGAAAAATCTAAAAATAAATAGAAAAACCTTGATCTCTGTAAAAACTATTACTTGTATAGTCATCTTTTCTACTTTTCTCTAACAAGTTTAAAATATTTAAATAAAATTTGATATAATAATATTTAAAAATATAGATTATTTTTTTTAGTATTTTATTTTTAAATTATAAAAAAAATTTAAATTACTTATAAACCAAAAATATGTAATTTTAAAATAATTTTTTTAAAAAAATATTTTAATTTATCTATATATATTGTATTATTTGCATATGTTATCATCTTTATTTTAAAACTTTGCTATTAAATTATATTGCTAATAATATCTTCTGGCTATTTTACTACTATCTAATATTTTGTTTTTTCCTCTTTTGGATTGCTATTAGCAATAAATCATAAAATATTCTCTATACAAAAGGTGATATAACTTCTTCTTAGTCTATACTATCTTTACAATAAATGTTTTTGTGGTCCTAAAACTTGTTATTATCTCTATTTCTCTTTTGTATTAAAGCTATAGAATGAAGCTCTTTGTAGTTTGTAACAACTTGATCTTTTCTAATGCTATTTTTAATATTTTTATACTAATCAAATCGAAAGCCTTTTTCATATTTTGGAAAAGTAACCAAATTTTTTTCTTGTATTCTTTTGTATTTTCTAATAAGCAGTTGATTAGATATATTAGTACTACTGTTCCTTCTCTTGGTATATTCACAAAGTTTCTTTTCTTTAGTATTTCTTTTTTTACAATATTTAGCTTAGCTTGTTATTTAATATTTTAACTACTATTTTATAATAGCAAAATTAGTTTTATATTATTTAATTTGTAGTAGCATTTTTCTCTTTTAGGTATCAGGTATAGTATATCTAATTTCTATTTTTTCAGCATATACTCTTCTGCTAAGCAACTACTTACCAGACTTCTGAATAACTTTTTTGTTTGTTTTCTGCCTCTTTAATTAGTGAATATATGATTCCTGTAGGCCTGGTGTTAACTTAGTTTTATATATTTTAGAACTTTCTTATATTTTTTTGATACTTCTTGCTTTAGATTTTTGTAGTCTTTTATATCAATCTTTTTAATCAGCCCATATTGGCAAATTTTTGGAATTTACTATTAAAAATTTCAATAATATTTAACTGTGAATAGCTTTTGATCTACTGGTCCGTTTTCGATGAAACGATTACCAAAATGTTCGTCTCGATGAGACGATTCTAATAGACCCAAAATCATCAAAATCCAACTACAGAATCCCGATATCATTAATGATTCGTTTCACTTCAGGTGTTTTAGAATTGGTTTAACCAATCCTAAAACACCCAAAGTGATGCAAATCTTTATTGTCTTTAGGATTCTGTGATTAGATTTTTACGATTTTAAGTCCATTAGAATCATCTTATTGAGACGAACATTTTGGTAATTGCTTTATTGAAAATGGACCAGTGGATCAAAAGTTATTCACAATTAAATATTATTGGAATTTTTAATAGTAAAT